TATGGATGACCTTTACACATGTTGCCTTGCCGCTTTCTTTTGCTGTGTCTACTATGTAGATTCCGCCATTGTTCTCTGAGTTGGCAACCAAGATGTCCCGTGTCTCCTTGTTGTAGGCCAGTCCCGTACAGCACGCCTTTCGCGATATTGTAATGAAAGATTCAGATTCCACCTTCAGTACTATACCAGTGCAGCTAACGGCAACTTTCAGGATTGTCGGTCTGTTACGCTTCGAAACGAAAAGGATGGTTCAGTCTTCGTTGGAGCACAAGGCCAAAGGACTGAGATCGTTTAGGAGTGAAATTAATCCATTACTTTTTGGAGATGCAGGAGGACTGGCCGAGCAGGCCGCGCTTGCGGAGCTCTTCTTGTAGCCGAGGCTTTTTCAGTGCTTTGGGATTTAATTTCACAACGTTACCGACGTCCAAATATGACAGACTATCTTCTTCTGCGACAAAGATAACACCCGATTCATAGATGACACATGTTGGATTTAAAATATCCCTGGCTAGGACTTGGACGTCTGCAGGGTTATGAAGCCTGACTCGAAAAAGGGATCCAAGGGAGTAATCCACAACATAAAGTGAACCAAATGCACCACAGCAAACTGAGATTGGATGGAGTAAAACTCCAAGTTTGTTAAGGCCATATTCATTCCAGAACATTTCTGGGACTACAGTATGGACAAGATATCCCATTCAATCCAATGCACAGTCGAACGGCGCCAAACACAGTATCCATGCATACAGCGCTCTTCCGCAGCAATGGTTTTAGCACATGAACGTTTCCACTCAACTAGCTTCAACTGAGTTCAAACACAGCCGCGCATTCTTTTTGACGACTTCCAGACAAATGTAAGTGACAGCGCGTCAGTCACAAACAAATCAAAGGCAAACGACCAAGTGTAACCTCCTGACCGGAAATTAGGTCATGGCCAGGAAAATAATAGCGTTTATAGACTGTTGACAGGTTTACAACAAAAGCCTCCTTCGTAAGACTTTTGTACAAGCTAATTCTAGCTCATTGTCATATCTTCTCATAGCTCTGAACCAAATCTGGGGCTCGAATTTTAAGAGTCTAAACGTCTCNATCCCAGCTAAAACCACCATAAATGCAACTTGCAGCCTATGCCTTTCATAATTAGCTATAGTACTGTAGCTTAGCTTAGCTTATAGTAATAGAATCGAACCTGGATGAATGATGAACCGTGGGACCTAACTGGTTAAGCATGGCGTGGTTGTTTTTTCGAATCCGGGATTGAAGTTCTTTTGATAGACTAAGACGAATTGTCGGCACATTGATAAATACAAACATTAATAGAGTACTTACGTGATTCGTGCTTTCGTTTCCTATGAGAAGAAGACGACTTTTCCTCCATTTCCGTTTCCTCCATGGTTTTTAAAACCATTTTTTAAAACGCATGAACGTTTCCACTCAACTAGCTTCAACTGAGTTCAAACACAGCCGCGCATTCTTTTTGACGACTTCCAGACAAATGTAAGTGACAGCGCGTCAGTCACAAACAAATCAAAGGCAAACGACCAAGTGTAACCTCCTGACCGGAAATTAGGTCATGGCCAGGAAAATAATAGCGTTTATAGACTGTTGACAGGTTTACAACAAAAGCCTCCTTCGTAAGACTTTTGTACAAGCTAATTCTAGCTCATTGTCATATCTTCTCATAGCTCTGAACCAAATCTGGGGCTCGAATTTTAAGAGTCTAAACGTCTCGCGCTCGCACTCAAAACACTTTGAAGTCTCGGTCTCACAATCTAAAAAGTCAAAATGTCTCCGGCTCGCAAAGAAAAACGCTAGTCTCACTGTCTCGCAAAGTCTCGCATTTACCATTCGCCACCCCTTGTAAACACGAGTGCAGCCACGTTTTGCCTTCCTCTTCCTGGCATGTATTGAGGCAGGAACCATTTGACAAACTCGCAGTCGAATCTTCTCCTACTTAGTGCATGGGCCATTGTTCTTATCTCAGCTGGCAGGGCCTAAACAGGAGCACTCCTTATTGACAGACATTCAAGCAATTGAGTTTTCACATTTAGTTCACAAGGAACAGATATAGCTTAAGCAAAATGAAAGTTTAACTTTCTCATTAGGTTAAGGCACCCTCTAGAAATACAATACAATACAATACAATACAATACTTTTTTACTAATTCTCCCCAAGGGGCTTTTTAGAATTAATTTACAATATGTATATGTAATATAACTAGGACTAATGATATATATGGTCTTCATATATAAATAGCAACTTGAAATTACTACTTCTAATAATAACTAACAATGTAATAATATACTATGGTATGTATACCGGTATCCTATTCCTTTATTAATTCTGCCTTTGCGTGCTTTTTAAATGATCTTAATGATCGGGCAGTTCTAGTGTTGTTACTGAGACTATTCCACGCCTTTGCTGCCCTATAAAAGAAGTTACTCTAGGCAGCTCTGTCCGGCATCCAGGTGGAAATAACTGATTAAAATGGTTACTGATT